ATCCTGATTCATGCTCAATAATCCAGGTATACAAATCCAAAAGTTAAGTGTTTGACTTGACTTTGACTTGGAAACCACCTGAGCACCATCAGACTGGTTGATGTGAAGGTGCTATTTATAAGACTGAGTTTGTTGCAGCTCCTCAGACTGATGAAGTCTTTTGGATGAAAGACGAAACGTTTCAACAAAAAGAAACCGTCCAGAGAACCTGACAACTCTACTGGGTATACTGTAGATACTTTTTGTGTAAGATCCACTCTTAGAACTGAGTCAATCTGAAACAAAGGGCTGCATCACTGGCAAAATGTATGTACCTGAATAAAATATATTTCAATCTAACTAGGGATGCACGATATTATCGGCATGGTATCGGTATCGAACGATATAAGCGTTAAATTTCAATATCGGACATCGGAAATTCCATTAAAATAACTTGCAGATACAAAAGGCGCTGTTTTTGCTTGCAGCGGCAGCACAACGTGATGATGTTGCAGCGGCAGCGCGACGCGATGACATCACGTGCGCCTACCCGATCTCACGGCAGAGAGGAAAATTCAAAATGTCGGCGGTGTGGAAGTTTTATTTTTCATTGGTGAGGATGTCGAATTCAGAAGATTTATGGACTACATTGAGCCTCGCTACATCGTCCCCAGTCTGAGATATTTTTCTGACGTAACGTTACCCGAGTTACAAGCCGTCATTTCCGATGTCATCGAGAAGCTAATAGCCGATAGCACGACTTGTTGGGTGAGTTTTACCACAGAGATTTGGACGTTGTGTTAGCCCCGTTAGCGTGATTACTCTTATGGCACAATGGATAGACAAAAACTTTGAACTTCAAAAGTCTGTCCTTCATGCACAGGAGTGCAGAGGATCCAACACTGCAGCTATAGGAACCTGGAACAAGCCTCCACAAGTGAGACAGCATCGCAGGTGACTAATGATAATACATAACATTTAGTACGTTTCATTTAATATAAGTTAAAGTACTATACATATCATATGGCTGCTACTGAATATATGTCACCATCTCTTACAGTAAATAAGCCTAAATAAAGGGCTATGTTCTGACAAAGGAACGTATATAAAATATCGGTATCGGCATCAGTTATCGACTGAATACGTTTTAACATATCGTCATATCGGCCAAATATCCAATATGTGCATCTCTAAATCTAACTTTCAGACAAAAATGTTGCAGTTAGTTAAGGGCTGCAACTGTAGGATAACTGGGGAGTCCAAACTGAAATCAGTGCTTTGTACCACCATCAGTTCATCTATAAAAGTACACTTTTGTAATAGAGATAAGCATTTGGACAGTTTTTGTTTGAATTATTTATCATGAGCACATTTTTTCTATATATTACGTTTTACATCTGGACGTGTTTTTTTGTCAGAGGAAAGCTCCCTGCAGGTGGAGCGTTTCGAGACACGTGAGGACACTGTTTGGATGTACCCCACCTCTCAGTTTGCCATAAACAGAAACAGGCAGGTTAAAAAATAAATGCATGAATGAATGTATTATTAAGTTTATCGCATTGTTTAATAAAGCTGTCCTCTATTTCATTCTGTTTGTGTATTAGATTGTTCAGGTGCTTGTTCAGTTGTTTTTTGTCCTCCTGGGAGCTTTCACCTCCCAGTTTGTATTCGCCAGCCTGTCTCAGTGTGTATATTACCACCAGAGCTATACGAGCAACTAATAAAATCAGCTCAAGAGCTCTTCCAAACGCAAGTGATGGCCTTTGGTGATTCCTAGATCTATACATAAAACCGGTGCTATATATTCAGCGGAGGATTGCTTCTGAAAATGTGAAGTGAGGGACTGAATTCAAGGCGAAGGGGAGCAGCATTGTGCGCCGCACGCCCGTGTTATCACTCCTCGCTACCAGTGGGTGAAAGAGGACGCCATCGGCGTCTCTCACTGCCGAAAGTGTTTGTGAAGTCGCAGGGAAGTGACACCCAAGAGACGCAGAGTGCGTGAGAACAGAGATGCAAGAGAAAGTTTATGAAGAGCGCGCATGTGTCTGTGTGTCAGGACTTTCCAAGGACGGTGACATCTTTCTTTCACCGCGGGGGGGCTTCCTGTGCAATTCCCTTCATAGTTTAAAAACGGGATTTTCAAAACAAAACGTAAGGAACGAACGATGTCAAAGAGTAAAATTTGTGTCAAGCTTTTTTAAAATTATCTACACGCGTGTGTTTACAGTTACGGTGTTTGTTAAAAGTGGCGTTTGCTTAAAAAAATACAGATTTATGTGCACGTGTCGCTCCACGATGCCTCATCTGCTATACAGGAGTCTAGGCTACACACACAGATGATATGACATCAGTAACAGATACACCAGCGTGGTGTTTACTCACATAAGCTCCTCATCAGTCACTTTATGATTGAGAACAATTAGGAGAGCCTCAGAGCTCACTGTTAGTGCGTTCAACATCATCCCTCCTCACTTCTTTGACATGCAGTCTTCAAACTATTAATATTGTTGAGATGATCCACGTTGCTCGCGGTGTGACAGAATGATTGAGGACAGAAGACATTCTTGCTGCTGCAGCAGCCACAACAACAAAAAAAAAAAGTTTAATTAGTCCCTGATCCATCAGAAAGTTTGACCTCCCTCTTCTGCTCATGGATCAGGATCAATATATAGACTGGGTGAAGTTCCAGGAACAGAAACCCACACTCTATTCTCTTTTTTAAAGTTATTATTAGAGCTCAGGATTCAGTTTTTAACTGAACGTGTTCCTGGACTCTGCATGGCATCAATATAAGCTGAGGATTTTACTTGCAAATATTAAACTGAGTCATAAGTCATGTGCGGAAAATGTAATAATTTCCTGTTTGCAAAGAAAATGAGTTTTAAATATAGTTTTGCCCAAAGGGGAAATAAAACCCCCTCACGGTTATTCACCTGTAGGACTGTAGAAGTGCGCAGCAAAAAAAGTAAAGTGGTTACAGTTTCCATTTCTGTCGGAGAAGAAGGAAAACAGAAGAAATGCTGGAAGAACGTTCAAACTGTTTCTTTCATTCCCTTTGGTTTGGTTTTCTTCTTTTCAGAGTCACTAAAAATCTATTTATTGCTCTTTTTATGTGTTTTACAATCAACCTGCACAGAACTGAAGATGCAAATTATTTTTTAATATTATTTGTCTAAGTCTAGTATATATGGGGGTAAATCATTAATGTGCATTGTTCCTTTTCTTTAAATAAACAATAAAGACAAAGTGTTACAACAATATGGTCTAAAAGGTGTAAAACGTAGTCAAATATATTGATTGTGTTTAATTCCTCTTAATTAAAACTGTAATTTACATAATCAGCTACATTTCAGTTTTGCTGTAAACCTCATATTGATTAAAACATAAAATAACAAATTTTGTTCAATCTTTTGCAGTTTCCAGCCTAGTATATGGGTTCTTATGCTACTCTCAAAAACAAATCGAGATATTTTAGGATGAGTGCCCAAATCAGCCCTTTACTCCCAAAAGCATCCGTGACAGATGTATTTTATTTTCATGCAACTCTCCAAACGTCTGCTAAAAAGCCTGATTGCTGTATTCTTCTTTTCAAATTCTCAAAACAGTGTTGTTTCTTTTAAAATAATTTTCGACTCATTTGAAAAGAGAATAAATTGTGCACGGTCGTTCAGTTGGTCGAGCTGTTGCCGCTCAGCAAGAACGCCAAAAACAATATTTAAAAAAAAAAAACTAGCAAAGTAAATGCTAAATGCCAAGTTAGCTAAACACAAGCTAAAATTAGCTAAACATTTGATAAAAGCTAAATTTGCTATATCTAACATTAGCCAAACAGTATCTACAAGCTAAGAACAGGAAAACCATAGCTAAAAATTAACAACAGTATCTAAAAGCTAAGGCCAGTAAAACCATAGCTAAAAAAATAACAACTGGAGTTAAAAGCTAAGACCAGTAAAAGCATAGCTAAAAA